CGGAAAGGCGCCATGTCCGCGGTGGGATGTGAGGAAGTGTCCCCAGAGCGGTTTGCGAGCGGCCCCGGCTGAGGTGCAGTTGGGAGAGGGGGGGACCGGGGGGTGGGTGAATGGGAGCAAGTGGGGTTAAGCCCCAGAGTGTTGGCGGGATGAAAACCCGTCGCTGTCTCGGGTGGGACAGGGCCGGAGCGTATCGGGGCCTGTGTGTGGAAACGGCCTCGGCGCAGGCTTTGCTGTAGATGCAGCCGAGCGCAGACCATCGGGGAGCGTAAGCTAACAAAAATGCATCGAACGCCTGCGCTTGAGATGAATGGGAGCAAGTGGGGTTAAGCCCCAGAGTGTTGGCGGGATGAAAACCCGTCGCTGTCTCGGGTGGGACAGGGCCGGAGCGTATCGGGGCCTGTGTGTGGAAACGGCCTTGGCGCAGGCTTTGCTGTAGATGCAGCCGAGCGCAGACCATCGGGGAGCGTAAGCTAACAAAAACGCATCGAACGCCTGCGCTTGAGACGCAGCCCAGACATCAAAGTGCAGCCTCAGATTTCCCTGCCCTGATTACATGCCAGGTAGGCAGGCTTTAATTGGACTTACGGTCTCTAACTTAACGCTGTTGGCTTCTGCAGCACCCTAGTGCAACCAGCTAGAAATCCTGTGGCTGCTTAATTTAGGCAGCCAAAAAACCCCCCATAGCCTTTCCTGAACTATTAAATAACACAGTTGATCTGTTCATTCTTGTTATTTATGTGTATAGACACTGAAGTCCTCAGAAGAAAATGCAGGGGAGGCAATTAGCAGAATTATTTTTTTTCTTGTTTCTGCATAAAAAACATCTTTAGTGGAGGAGTTAATTGAACTCGTCATGCAACATCTCTACCTCTAACGGAAACATTGTGCAGAGCCACATCGCTGCACAATATGCAGTTTGTGTATTTTCATGGTTTTCTTCTTCAGCTAAAAAGCAAGCTGGCATTTTGTAACAGGGGAGTTTCTCACAGTAGAGTATCGTCAGCACACCGGACTGTGACGAGTATATGTTGTCTTCGCAGGGTCCGTGCAGCGTGCGGGCTCCTGTGTCACTTCTGCCCCTCCACGCCCAGGGCGCGGTTGGATCACATTGACAAAACAGCAATGCCCCAGATTTTGTATTCTCAGGGTGCACATTGGTAATCTACGTATGAAAAGCACCATAACATTTCATGTATGTTTTATCCACGGAAAAGGGTTTTTTACATTGCTAGAAAATGCCACGCTCTTGTTATCTGCAAAACGGTGAAAAGACAGATGACCCCTTCATGCTGTTCATTTGCATGCCCCCTCTTTTGCCTGAAAGAAATACCTGTTCTTTAGGACATAGTGGCTTTGAAATAGGACACTGCCTGAAATCTTTATTGTAACATTTGACTTCAAAAGAGACACTACTGGGTTGGAAGGAAGGCGTGCTAGTGAGTTGATCCTTAAAAATAATGAAATTTGGTAAGAAGCTACTAATGTTTAACAAACAACAAGGTTAAGGATAAATGTAATCGGCTCTACGCTCCCACCATATTTTTTCTATCCTGCAGCCCTACAAAAAGGTAATTCGGTGGAATTAGGGCATCAAAGACAAAGCAAATTGTTTTCCCAGTCCTCTGCTTTACTACGATTGAAGTTGGTGGCGTGCTGTAGTTGAGCCATTTCAGTCTTACTAGTTGAAATATCTTTAACTTTCGCTAATTATGTAACAGCTAAATCAAAGTTTCTGATTTTTTAAAATATATCTTTGATCTGTACGAGCTTACTCATCTAAGCGCACCCCAAAGTGAAACGAAATGTAGTGTTTGTGTTCCTACCAACACTGAGCTAACAGCTATTGAGGGGTGTGTGGAGAAAGTGTCTACAGCAGCGTCGTAGCGTTAGCTTCTCTCGCATCTTTTCAAACTCATTACAGTGCCGCTTGCTCGTAGAGACTCTGTGATCAAAGAATGCTTGTTTGCATTTCTTGGAGAAGCATGGTTAATTATCTGTATCTATTCATAGTCTAAACATTCAGCATTAATAACTATGCTGGTTGCTTCAGGGCAGAGCTTGCCGCATTTGTTATCGACAATAAGCAATGAGAATTAATTGTCTCTCATTAATTCAGTGGTGAACAACTTACTTCATACGGCTTTAAAAGCGGGAGACGGCCTCATGATGTGGTGTTGTGCCGTTGTCGAGAGAAGCGGGTCCTCACTCTCGTCGTTATTTGTGCACCACAGCCCCCTCGGTTTGCAGGCTCTGTTGTTGCAAACCGCAGCTCCAGCCCTGGAACTGGTACCCGCCACCCTGCTGCCTGTGCGGAGCTGACAGGGCTCTGCACAGACCCAGCAGACATCCCACGTAATTTTTGCTTCACGAAATGGGAGTTGGCATCTAGATGGTTTGCTGCTTGCCCAGACGCAACTCCGCTTTGTCACACCCAATTAATGCCTTAATTCTGAATCACATTGATAGACTTGTGCTCACAGGCAGAACTCATTGCAGGTCTTGTGCTTCAAATATTTCAAAAATTAATATCCATGAGTAATTTTGCATAAATGAGTAGTGCCATTCAGTTAATGATGGAGGCCTTTCTTCCCTAGGCAAGGCTAGGAAATATTTTAAAATAAATACATACACCAGTTGCCAGAAAACTCTGCTATAAACTGTGACAACTGTTTATAAGACATTGTTGCCAATTAATTGCATTTGTCCCCAGGATAATACAAGCTGTTTTTCTTTAATTCTGAAGACTATATGGCTATAACTTGGAAGTAAACAAGCATGAAATCAGCGTGGCCACAGCCTATAATCCTCAGACTTCACCTTTCCATTGGCCAACGGCTAAGAGAACCTCATAAATTTAAGAATATTCCACAGCATGTCTGCCTTAAGGAATCTGATTTAGAGGCTTAATCTGCATAGGTTTTATGATTCACCACATTTGATAGACAAGGAGAAATATGGCCCATGTGCACCGCTGTAACTCCACTGACATTAGACATCGATCATCAACTACCATTTGTATTCTACTTCTTAACTATTTATGTCTCCCATTATTGAATTCCTCACAATCTTTAAATGTATTTCTCTTCTCAGCAACTTCATGAGGTCAGGAAGAACTGTCCCGGTTAGGAAAGTGAACAAAGACGGTGTTCTGCTCTGGGCTTGCAGGAAGACTGTGATAGAGAAATTGAACACATCTCTTGTCAATACTCTGCCGGTACCCTGACCCACTGCATCATGCTTCTTTCCATTTGCACACTGTTTGTTTGCTAATAAAAATTAATACAGAATGTTCCCACCTGAAGACATCTCAGCTGTCAAAATACAGTACTAAATGAGCTGCTGTTTAAAATAATTTTATAGACAAGTAGGTGGGCCTCGAGTACTTTCAAAGTAGGGCTGAAGACCGTATTTTACAGCGTTCCTAAAGATGAGCTGTCATAACATATTGGTATGCAGGTTGGGGGTGAATTAGTTTTGGGTCTTTGTGTTGTTTTTTTTTAAAAGGCTGTGCTGCTCTTATTATCTGCGCCACAAATTCCAACAACTGCTTTATGAATTCATCTGCAGTTGAGTTCTATCCTTCAGAGCACCACACTTTATCTAGGGTCTTCATTTATATTCATCAGTGAGGATGAAAATAAAATTTAGCTTTAATTCAAAGGCTAATTTAGATTTCAGTATATGATTAACATTCCACATACAATCACTGCCATCGAAGTCAAGCATATGCATAAATCTTTGCAGGACTGGGGCCAAAACATTTTTAAGTATCCACTTATTCAATACATTTTATATGAAGAATTATTCTTATCATTTATGCAAGGGCCTTAACTAGGTAAATCTTGACACAGCTAAGTCTCTCTCTCTAATTACTCATTTTCTTACTTTTCATCTGGCTTCTACTCTACACATTGTTATCTAATTCTACCAGCACTTGGGTATGAACACAGTTCACTAACTGTAAATACAATGTTCCTCTTCTGCATGAGTGTTTATAGGAGCAGCAGGAGTATTCAGCAAACAATCTCAAAAACTAAGTTTTCAGGAAAATGTGTAGCAACTCCAACAGGTAACAGCATTGACTGTATAATTTGGTAAAACAAACCATTAAAAAAAAAAAAGAACACTAAATCATAAAAAGCTATACTAAATTATAAATTATTGCATTACCTACAGGAAAAACTAATTTTTCCATTAAAATACCATCATTCAACTACAGCAAACAAAGTTCAACTATTCTACTTAAGACAGAGTGGAATCACCAAAACTTTAATGCTATATTTTTGGCATGCAATATATACATAATTAAACAGTTAAAAAACATATACAAGTGTAGTATACATAACGTAAATGCAGTCTTGCTGTGGATTGTATCTATCAGTATATTCACAGTACCAGTCATAACATTTGCTAGCAAGAAAAATAGTAATTGATTTTTATTAATAGCGCTAATCAGGCAAATGTGCAACAGCTTGCCTTCCGTTCTGACGGGCACGGTCTCCGTTTCACGCTTCGTACCGGTATCAGGGGGCTTTTCAACGTTCCAGCAACAGGGCACACTGGACCCCTTCACAAGAAGCTTTGTGAACACCAACGCGAGATCAGTCACTACAAAACAGATAAAGAAAGTCAGACAGTGAGCAACCACCCATACGCAGTAGGATAGATTAGCCATCCGGCGGGACACAGGGTCCGCATACGCTTGCGACACGTGAAGGAACACGAAGAGCAGGAGGACTGTCAGCAGCAAGAAACGCGCCGCTTCAATCCAGCCTTTCACTGAGTTTCTGCACTTCAGCAGCCAGAGTCCCACTTGGACGCTCGCCATATATATGGCTAGATATCCAAAGAGAGAGAGCAGTCCTTCCCTGTTGGCATTTAAAAAGCCAACCCTAGTATCTCTGCCGTCGCTCCCATGCAGGATAAACATCTTCAGAGAGGTAGCGTTAAGGGTAAGCTGATAAAGTACAGCAAGATTTATAGCAACAATCCAAGATTTATTTTTTGGAAATATGGCTAAAAGTAGAGATGCTGCAAGCCTCACGAATGCTAAGGTAAAGAAAAAATTCCAGTGCACTCCATACTCTGAAGTATGTTCATGATACTCTATAGATTTAACACTAAGCAGTCGTCCAAAGCCAAGAAAAATCAACGGCCAAATGGAAAAGAACTGTCTGGCCAGATTGGAAAATTTTGGTTGTGTCACGCAAGACTTTTGTCTAACTTCAGGACAGACGAGAGCATTACCAAAAATAAAAGCTCCAACCCCCAAATCCATAACTCCTGTTCCATAGGTCTCGGCTTTGGCGTATCGCCTTGGATATTGCGGGAAATCCACTGCTAAAATGCCGATTGATGTCAACACATTGACATAAACGCGAAACACAGTTATTGCTGGAATGTGTTCTGGATCCAAGCACGCCTTCTGGAAGTCTTTTACGATTTGCCTAAAAGGCACTCTGGTCTCATGTTTTCTTTGGCTGTATATTTTAGAAAATATTCCGGCACAGAAGGCTGCAGTGATAGTTGGCATGAAAAACATGATCGGAGACAAGACTGTACAGGAGAACAGGAGAGGAGATACTAGCACGAGGAAGTCTAGCAGCAGGCCGTATTTCCTTGAACTTAAAGGTTTCCCATAGCGCAGGTGATATAAAATCAAGAGGAGTCCTCTGCAAAGCAGGCAGAGCGGAGGTAGAGACAAGCCTAGTGAAATTTCCAGCAAACTAGTTCCATTTAAGTTACTGATAAAGGCTTCTTTCAGGTGCTTTTGTGACATTCTTTTTCCTTCCTCTGAAAACACTAACGTGAACTTGAGTTAGTTTTGTAAAACAGGGCTCTTAGAACTTCATCAAGAATGGATCTTGTGTACCAGTTCATGAAAAACGTGCAGCGATTTCAGAAGTCATCTGTTTTTCAGTTACTCTTCAATGTAAAGAATACAGAACTGCCGCCCCGGTGCTGCAGACGCTGGCGCTGACACTCAGCTGTGGCCTGGGAAACCGAGCGGAGGCACTTGCAAGGCCTGACCGAGTTCCAGCATTACAAGTCTTGCTGTGTTCCAAACAAGATTCTTAACGTATTTTTCCTGAAGATCTCTAAATATCAAATACTCTGTGGAACATTCACATTGTGAATAGTCTTACTGTATGTCCTGCTCTGTAGAATACACTTGGTCATATTCTCTACAGCGTAAATGAAACGGATATGTAAAAATGTGACTCTAATGAGGTTTCTGTTGCCTGGTCAGCAGAGCGTGCAATAAAACCAGCAGCTAAAATCCCCACTTGCAACAGAAATGCCCTTTTAAAGAAGTCCCAGTCCTACGGCGATCCTACCCAGCCAGGCTCCTCTGCCTTGTGGGACCTGTTTCGAGAGAAGAGATGTTAAATGTAAAAAGCATTGATTAGAAAGTCAAAATTGCTGCTTTGTTTCTTTAACCCGCAGCGTGGGTAGCAACGAAGAGGCCCTGTTAGCTAACCCGCCGCCCGCCCCCACAGCTGCCCCAGCCATTTCCCCATGCAGAGGCGGACGGGCTTACCGGTTTCGGGAGCGGGACACCAGCACGCCGTGCCCGCTCCCGGGGGCCCGGCACTGCAGCAGCCGGAGGGAAACGGACGTCGGGGGGAACAAACCCGCATTTCAACGCTGCCGTCCCCTGCAGAGGCCGAGGTGCCGGAGGGGCGAGAAAACAAGCCCCGGAGGACCCCGGCGTAAATTAACCTCTTGCCTTCAGCGTCCCAGGCCCCTTCCCCACGGCACGGCGCTCCCGGCCCTGTTCCGCAGGGCGCGCTGGCTTTAGCGGAGCCC